ACATTTTCGGACATAACGCAATTTTTTTTTAAAAAAAGATTGATTGATATGAGCAATGCAGAGAAAAATGAAGAATCTTTACCTAAAATTATTTCTTCTTTTGCTCCCTATGATGTAATGAACCAAAAGAATGAAGACTTGAAATGAAAAAATATATTAAAAATGAAGAATTTTTTGGTGAAGAGTTTAGTTGAAAACCAACTATAACAATGGTTGTGTGATCATGCAACTGTTTCTTTTATCATATATTTTTGGAGATGCACCTCCAAAAATATTTGACATGCAAAAGTGATAGAAAATTTCAAAATGTCATCCATAGTTTCATAGATGTAATTTCATAATTTCTACTGAACTGGTAAATAACTAAAGTGTGAGACATTGGATCGAACTCTAGTGTGGTCGAAGTCTGTTCGCAAGTAATGCGTGTTGTAGTCGAAGTTTGTTCTAACATGCATGAGTAAATATTGCTAAGGTTGTTAGCATGAGTAAATATTGCTAAGGTTGTTAGCATGTTGAATTGGGTCTTGCTTGTAAGCCCAATTGTTTAAGTTAGCTTGTACCCTAAGTTAGCTTGTAATGGGTAATTGTTAAAAAGCCCATTAGGTTAGTGTGCTATTTTATTATAAATAGGATGCTAGTTTCTCAATCTTGAGAATAAGGAAAAATAGGAAGATAAAATCCTAATTTCAAGGGAGAGAGGTTATTTTGTTATTCTTGTATACTTGTAATCTTGTTCTAAGAGAAAGGAAAGAATAACAGTTTAATAACCAATCCTTGTTGTTCCTTGTTGCTTTTTTCTTTATTAACCCTAACCCTTGTGTGTTTCTTGATAAAAAAACCGTGTATACTTTGTTTAACGGTATCCTATTCACAACAAATTGGTGCGGTGAGCGTGGAGAAGATGCCTTCAACAAAGTATGAGATTGAAAAGTTCACCGGAGTGAACGACTTTGGTCTGTGGTGCTTGAAGATGAAAGCCATATTGGTTCAGCAGGGTTGTTTGGAAGTGTTGAAGGGTGAGGCATCCATGGACGCTGCGTTAACGGCAAAAGAAAAGACGGGCATGATCGAGAAAGCCCACAACGCAATATTATTGAGCCTTGGTGATAAGGTTCTTCGACAGGTATCAAAGGAGACTACAGCATCGGGATTATGGGTGAAACTTGAAAGTTTGTACATGACCAAATCTCTGGTGAATCGACTATACCTGAAGCAAGATTTATATTCATTCAAGATGAGTGAAGACAAAGTGTTGGCTGAGCAGTTGGATATTTTCAACAAGCTGATTCTTGATCTTGAAAATATTGATGTGAAGATCGATGATGAAGATCAAGCACTATTGCTGCTGTGTGCTTTGCCCAGAACACATGCTCACTTCAAAGAAACTCTCTTGTATGGAAGGGAGTCCCTGACCTTTGAAGAAGTTCAATCAGCCTTGTATTCTAAGGACTTGAACGAACGAAAGGAGCATAAACCTTCGACGGTGGGCGAAGGTTTGGCCGTTAAGGGAAAATTCTTGCGAAAGGATGGTAAGTTCGACAAGAAAAAAGGTAAAAGTCAACAAAAGTCTTATAGTGGCGAAACATCTAGTATTCGATGTTACCACTGTAAGAAGGAGGGTCACATAAGAAAGTTGTGCCCTGAATGCCTGAAAGATCATGGAGGTAATGGCAATGCAGCCATTGTTCAAGATGACTTCGACTCATCTGATGTTCTTGTGGTTTCAAGTGGCGACTCGAGGAAAGAGTGGATTATGGATTCAGGTTGCACTTGGCACATGACTCCAAACAGAGAATTGTTCGAGGAGCTATGTGATCAAGATGGTGGATCTGTGCTGTTAGGAAACAACAAATCTTGCAAAATTGCAGGTATTGGATCTGTGAGATTCAAGCTCCATGATGAGTCAATAAGGTTATTGACTGAAGTCAGGTACGTACCTGACTTGAAGAGAAATTTGATTTCTCTTGGTGAATTCGACAGAAAAGGATATGTTTTTCAAGGAGAGAAAAGTATCCTAAGAGTCATGAAGGGGTCGAAGGAAGTCTTGAGAGGCGTGAAGAAACAAGGCTTGTATACCCTTGAGGCCGAGGTTGTAAGTGGTTCGACAAATGTTGCATCCACGAAATCTATGTCGAAGACAGAATTATGGCACATGAGATTGGGCCATGTCAGCGAAAGAGGCCTGGTCGAATTGGGGAAGCAGAACCTGCTAAGGGGTGACAAAGTCGAAAAGTTGGAATTTTGTGAATCTTGTGTATTTGGTAAATCCTGTAGGGCGAAGTTTAACAAAGGCAAGCAAAGAACACATGGATCCCTGGATTACATTCATGCTGATCTTTGGGGGCCTGCAAGGAATCCTTCACACTCAGGTGCAAGGTATTTTCTATCCATCGTTGATGACTATTCCAGAAAACTATGGGTATTCATTCAGAAGACGAAGGATGAAACTTTTGAGAATTTCAAAAGTTGGAAGATTCTAGTCGAAACTCAGACTGGCAGAAAGGTTAAGAGGTTGAGAACCGACAATGGCCTTGAATTCTGCAACGAAGCTTTCGACAATTACTGTGTTGGGTCTGGGATTGCAAGACATAAGACTGTAGCAGGTACTCCTCAACAAAATGGCTTAGCTGAGAGATTCAATCGAACAATCCTTGAAAGGGTTAGATGCATGTTGGTTAGTGCTGGATTGAAGAAGGTGTTTTGGGCGGAAGCTGTTTCGACAGCAGCTTACCTGATAAATAGATGTCCCTCGACTGTCTTGGGAATGAAGACACCTGAAGAATTTTGGTCGGGACAACCACCTAGTCTCGACAGACTGAGAGTATTTGGCTGTGTGGCCTATGCTCATATTAGGCAAGACAAGGTCGAACCTAGAGCTCTGAAGTGCATGTTCATGGGATACCCTGAAGGAGTCAAAGCTTATAGGCTATGGTGCCTAGAGCCAGGTCACAGGAGGTGTATCACCAGTCGAGATGTAGTTTTCAACGAAGCAGAGATGAATTTCAAGAAAACTGATGATGCTGACGTAGAGCTGGAACAGGGAGAGATTCCTGTTGAGGTGGAGCATGTTGATGCTGAATTGCTTACCCCAGATGAAGTCGAAGAAGACACAGAAGATGTTGTCGAAGATGAGGAGACTGATAATGACTACCTGCTAGCAAGAGACAGGTCGAGGAGAGTCATCAAGCCACCTCAGAGACTTGGGTATGCAGATCTTATAGCTTATGCCTTAATTTCTGCAAGTGAGGTTCTAGACGAAGAACCTAGAGACTATAAGGAAGTTATGAGGAATCAAAAGAAGACAAATTAGTCTTTGATGTATGCTATGGTCTGTACTAGACCCGACATAGCATATGCAGTAAGTCTTGTAAGCAGGTACATGGCGAATCCTGGAAAGGCTCACTGGCAAGCATTGAAGTGGATTTTAAGGTACATAAATGGGTCTCTGAATAGAGTCCTAATTTATGGTGGAGCCTTGGGTGAAGATAGTAAAGCAGTAATCGAAGGATATGTCGACTCTGATTATGCAGGTTGTATGGATTCTAGAAAATCTATCTCCGGATAAGTGTTCACTATGTTTGGGACAGCAATCAGTTGGAAAGCAACACTTCAGAAGGTCGTTGCCTTATCAACCACTGAAGCGGAGTATATTGCTCTAACTGAAGCTGTGAAGGAAGCAGTGTGGCTTGAAGGTTTTGTAAAGGAGCTAAAACTTCAAGGTCGAGTTATCACTGTTAAATGTGATAGTCAAAGTGCAATACATCTGTCGAAGAATTCAGCCTATCATGAGCGAACCAAGCACATTGATGTGAGGCTGCATTTCATCAAAGGGGTAATCGAGCGTGGAGAAGTCCAAGTGCTGAAAGTTTCGACAGATCATAATGCTGCTGATATGATCACCAAGACATTGCCCAATTGCAAGTTTTTCCACTGTATGCAGTTAATAAATCTGCATGAAGAAAGCTAGTTTCTTGATGTTATAGAGTTAGATCCAAGGTGGAGATTTGTGAGACATTGAATCGAACTCTAGTGTGGTCGAAGTCTGTTCGCAAGTAATGCGTGTTGTAGTCGAAGTTTGTTCTAACATGCATGAGTAAATATTGCTAAGGTTGTTAGCATGAGTAAATATTGCTAAGGTTGTTAGCATGAGTAAATATTGCTAGGGTTGTTAGCATGTTGAATTGGGTCTTGCTTGTAAGCCCAATTGTTTAAGTTAGCTTGTACCCTAAGTTAGCTTGTAATGGGTAATTGTTAAAAAGCCCATTAGGTTAGTGTGCTATTTCATTATAAATAGGATGCTAGTTTCTCAATCTTGAGAATAAGGAAAAATAGGAAGATAAAATCCTAATTTCAAGGGAGAGAGGTTATTTTGTTATTCTTGTATACTTGTAATCTTGTTCTAAGAGAAAGGAAAGAATAACAGTTTAATAACCAATCCTTGTTGTTCCTTGTTGCTTTTTTCTTTATTAACTCTAACCCTTGTGTGTTTCTTGATAAGAAACCGTGTATACTTTGTTTAACGGTATCCTATTCACAACATAAAGTATTTCTTAAAATGTTTAGGAAATGCATCTCCAGAATAGAAATAACTCAAAATATAAGACGCCTCTTAGAATGACCTTATTTGAGTGTGTAAGAGATGCGTCCGGAGATACATCTTCGAAACCAAAAGACATATGTGAAAATTCACGTAGTGTAGTAGAAATATTTTGGGTGTATAGGCTAAACCGTAGACCCATATTAATTGATCTGACCTACATTTTCCCATAGCTCCACAACAATACAAAACACACTTTAATGTAACTCATGCACAAAGAATGCAGTGTGAGAACAAGCAAACGACTGCAACATGAAGAAAAAGAAGCACGCAGAGAAAACTGAAGGTGAACAAGATTATTATAAAAGGCCAATACTATTATTACTCTTATTGTTTAAAACAAAACAAAAGTTGTTATACTATAAACAAAATATACAAAAGAATGAAATAATGATTGAATATGTCATTCACTACTCTTCCATACTTCTTTCAAAAGTTCATATCGGACAACCTTACGTCCTTCCTTTACTACTGCAGACATTTTCTTAGAGTCATCCATGCCAAGAGCAGAAAGTGGTGAATCTAATTCGTCAAGTTCATCGTCGCTTGTGTATAACTTTTTAAGCATAAATGATGCACTTTTTAATCTAGGGGTTCCCACTTCTTTTAGCATGCTCACAACTGAAGAAGTTGGGGGAGGTGCGTAGAATGTGGAACCAGCACTGCATGGAAAGCTTGTGATGGACCCTTCATCATCTGCAATATCCTAAAATCGATACAAGAATAGTTAAAATTATTTAAAATTATTTGCTTATATCTTTTTTTCGCATGTATAGTAAGTTACTAATAACCATGTTGTCTATGTTAAAAGTTAAGGGGCTTAAGCAATGCTTCAAACACAGAATGTAGGCATTGCAATAATCCGGTGCCCTCGTGATAGTTATTGCTTGAATTCAAACAGAAGAAAAACATGCAACAAATTAACCAACCTCATTGTTCAAGGCCTCGATAACAGCATTTGGGACAGGTCCAGGGGTGAACTCATCGGGGACAAAATTGTTGATGACCTGTTTTACCAATGATATGCCTAATCTAGGACATACCTATAGAAGTTTTTTGCATAATCAGAATAAAAAATTTTGTTTCGCAAGGAATAAGAAGAAAAACACGTGTCAAAAAATCAAAAGTAATCGAACCTCTCTTCTCATAGATCTGTCTGCAAGCATTTCGAAAGGAAGCATCATTAGATCACTCAGCGTGTTCAGGAGAGGGAAAGGTTTGAAGGAAGATTCACATTTTATGTCATCATTCTCATTGTTATCGTCATGAGAGTCGTCGCAGTCATCAATGCCAAACAAATCTGAAAGCCATCTTGACCAGTCACCAACCTGAGTACAGACAATGAGAAGTTACCAACAGTATGTATGTTGCAAATTTCATGGAATGTTAATATGAATGCATCAATATTCAAAAGCTTTGAGTTTGAAGTGAATTTCAAATTTGCAGTCAAGTTAATGAATTTAAAAATCATATTCTCAAAACACCAAATTGTGTTATTTCTAAGTTCTGAGAATTGCTATAAAATCTATCTTTTGTATAAAAGCAATAATTTGTATCAAATACCCTCTATGTTCCACTAGCATTTTTTAATTATTAAGACTCAGATTATGTTTTTTTCTTCAAATGATTCCACCAAAACATCATAAGATACTTCACATCTGGTTTGTGCTAGCAAACTTTCTTAAAGCCAACCCAAATGCATATTGCTGTGTGGAAGCATGCCCTGCAGTGATACATATCCAAAGTACTGCAAGAAATATTTATGTTTGGGAACCTATGTCAAAAGGTTATGAATTATGATATCAATCTGTTAACGGGAGTCGGTTATGATGGAATTGAGTTATTGTAAATTATTTACTTTCCTAGAATAGGTTATATAAATTAGACAATAGAATATTTGTTATTATAATTTGTAATTATGTGTAATTATTGATACGATTATATATAGAATGGAATACAATAGAGAAAGGCATCAAACCAATTTTATCACATTCATTGATGATTATAGTCGTACTCAATTTTATGCAAGTGTTTAAAATTTTCGCTCTAACTCTGGTGGTGAGTACATGTCTCATGAGTTTTAGGAGTTCCTTAAAAAAAAAGGCATTTTGTCTCAACGCTCTTGTTCCAATACTCCCCAACAAAATGGGATGGCAGAACGCAAGAATCGTCATTTGCTTGATGTAACACGTACCTTACTTCTTCAAGCTTCCGTGCCATCTCGATTTTGGGTGGAAGCTCTTTCCACGACTGTCTTCTTGATCAATCGTCTTCCTTCAACGATTATTGATCTTGATTCTCTTTTTTTCCGTCTTTTTAAAACTCAACCTAATTATAATGATTTACATACTTTTGTGTTTTGTTCATCTACCTCCATTTGAAAGACATAAGCTTGGAGCACAGTTTGTTCAATGTGCATTTATAGGGTATAGTCACTCTCATAAGGGTTTTGTGTGTTATGATGTATCTAATCGTCGCTTCCGCATTTCTCGTAATGTGACATTTTTTGATGATCAATTTATGTTTCATTGTGTTTCTCCAGTCATGGATGATATTGTTATTCTTCCTAATTTTTCCATTATGCCTCAATCTATAGAACGTTATAAACCAGAAAATGTATATGTCAGAAAACACAGGCAACGGGTATCCACACCTCTTCCTAGCGCTGATCCACCACCTGATCCTGTATCGATTGAATCACGACGTTCTGGTCGAATATCTCGAGCACCAGATCGATATTCACCAGACAGGTATGATTCTTCACATACTTCTCTAACTGCCTCACTCTCTAGCATATCTATTCCTACTTGTTACTCACAGGCTGTTAAAGATGTGCGATGGATAAAAGCAATGAATCAAGAGCTTCAAGCTCTTCAAGAGAATTTCACATAAGATATTGTCCCTTGTCCTTCTGATGTCAAACCTATAGGTTGCAAATGTGTGTATTCTATGAAATTGAATTCTGATGGATCCCTCAACCGTTACAAGACCTGCTTGGTTGCATTAGGAAACAAGCAGGAGTATTGAATTGATTATGATGAAACATTTGCACCAGTTGTCAAAATGACAATTGTTCGCATGATCATCTCTATAGCTACTTCTAGTGGGTGGTCTCTTCATCAAATGGATGTGAAGAATGTTTTTCTTCATGGTGACCTGACAGAAGATATTTATGACTCCACCTCAAGGCTCATTCTCTTCATCTAAAAGTCTGTGCAAGCTCAAACGCTTCTTATATGGTTTGAAACAGGCACCTAAAGCATGGTACGAGAAATTCCGCTCCACTCTACTTGGATTCTCCTTTACTCAGAGTCAGTATGACTCCTCTTTATTTATTCATAGCACGTCTGCGAGTATTGTTATGCTTCTTTTGTATGTTGATGATATGGTTATTACTGGTTCTGATCATGCTTCCATTCAGCGACTTAAGCAACAACTACAGGCCTCATTTCACATGAAAGATCTTGGTAATCTACGTTACTTTCTTGGTCTTGAAGTTCATTCTACGTCCAAGGGAACATTCCTTCATCAACACAAGTATGCCACAAATTTGATTTCTATGGCTGGTCTCGAATCCGCTAATCCAGTGAATACCCCTCTTGAGGTTAATGTTAAATATTATCGTGATGATGGTGATCTTTTGCCTGATCGTTTATTGTATCGACAACTTGTGGGCAGCCTTAATTACATGACTATTACTCGTCCAGACATATCTTTTCTTGTTCAGCAAGTCAATTCATGCATTCTCCTCGACATCTTCATTTGGCAGCGATTCGTCGTATAATTCGCTATTTGAAAGGAACCTCTCATCGTGGTCTATTTTTTCTCGCCGGAATAGCTTCCAAATTGAGTGCTTATAATGATGTCGATTGGGCAGGGTGTCTGGACACTCGTCGATCTGTCACTGGTTGGTGCATGTTTCTTGGATCTTCGTTGATCTCATGAAAAAGTAAGAAGCAAGCAAGAGTCTTTAAATCCATTTGAGTATCGCGCCATGTCTGCTGCTTGCTCGGAAATTATTTGGCTACGTGGTCTTTTGGCTAAACTTGAATTTCCTCAAACAGAGCCTACACCACTTTATGTCGACAATACAAGTGTCATCCAGATTGTTGCAAATCCAGTCTTTCATGAACGCACCAAACATATCGAAGTCGATTGTCATTCAATTCGTGATGCCTATGATGACCGACTTATAGCACTTCCTCACGTCAGTACTCAACTTCAGGTTGCAGATATTCTTACCAAAGTTGTTCCGCGTCCACGCCATCAATTTCTTGTTAGCAAATTGATGCTTATTGACCAGCCGCATCAATTTCTTGTTAGCAAATTGATGCTTATTGACCAGCCGCATCAATTTGAGGGGGGATGTTAACGGATGATTGGGAATTGATTTATCAGTTATTGTAAATTATTTACTTTCCTAAAATAGGTTAGATAAATTAGACAATAGATATTTGTCATTATAATTTGTAATTATGTGTAATTATTGATACGATTATATATAGAATGGAATGCAATAGAGAAAGGCATCAAGCTAATTTTCATGAAACAATCTTCTGTTTTTTCTTAAAAAAAGAAGGCTCCGAACCGCAAGTTTAGTCACTCACAGCATTCTTTAGTTGCGCACCAGCACCAAAGCCTGATTTTCCAGATGCAATAGGAAGAACCTTAGAATCACTAATAGGGTCAGATATAGGATCGGTGGGCATTTCATCGGCTGATTCCCGAAGAATAGCATTGAACATCGCAACATCGAGTCTATTAACCAATTGTTCCATCACCTAACACCAGAATAAAAAAGTTCTATTTCAATCACACTGCATTTTGATTATATTGTATAAAGATAGGAACAAATAGCACAATTCATCATTAAGAGCAAACATGAACATCTACACTATCTATCCAACATGGAACATTCCAATTTGTCATATTATTTAACACATGCATCTACATCCATATACATGTAAAAGAGAAGAATATAAGAATGAATCCAACATTGCAACACATTGAATAAGGAATACCGACTGTTAAATTATACCATTCTAGATATCACATGCAAGCAGCCACACTCAAGCCCTCCACCTCGAAGAGGACAAAGCCTTTCACACGCACCCTTGAAAGCTCTTTTCCATAAATCAATAGAAAAGTTTCCTTGATCTTGATCGCCAATGGTATATCTCTTACCATAGTTTTTCCTAGAGCTAGAGCTCTTAGCTGCTGCAGATTGCATGTATGGCGTCAGAGTCTGGCGACAACAAACAACAAAAAATATCAGTAAAAAGTACAAAGGCATTCAATTTCAATATAAAAGTTTCTTGAGAGATGACAGAGAAGCAGAAAAGGAAGAAAAAGGAGGAGAAAAATAAAGGTTTATGATTCAACCTGCCACCACACTGACTCAATAATTCGAGAGAACATCCATGCTTCGACCTTTTCCAATGCAACTAAAAATGTCTCTGGCTCCAGCCAGCCATGAAATTGTTCTTCTTTATTTTCTTTTTCTTTGTCATGAGAAGTGGAACCATTTACATTACATTCACCATTGAGCCACGGACCATTACCAAGGTCTTTATTTTCAACTCCTTTGCTCACAATTGCTCTTAGCAATAGTAGGTTTGAGAACCAGAATGTCAACCTATTCATGGTACAAAACAATAAACTAAGAACTGGTTTAAAATGCAAGCAAATAATGAAAACTATGTTGCGGCTTTTTTAAAATAATAATGAAAAACAAAAACTTCAATACACAACAACAACCAATATTTATCTCATTAGTTTTCTTGCAATTTAGAACTATAAAAACAAGATCATCGGTTGTATGTTCCTGAATTGTCGTAGAATTTTAGCATAGTTATGAAATCAACTTTTATATACCTTGGAACATCATTTCCACATGCTTTAGAAACCAAAACAAATCCCGAGACAACGCTCTGGGCAGCACTAGTTATTTTAGCAGGGGAGCCAACTCTGCGAGCATAGAAATAGAATCTAGACAAGCGCCGGGCAGGTGCATGAACCTTGTTTGATGAGCCATGTTCAGCAATAACTGAGTACATTGAAGCTTCAAGAGCAGCAGCTTCTCTCAGCTCTTCACGAAGCCGTTCAACTTCGGCCTTCAATTCAGAATTATCAATAAAAGAACTACCATTCACATTAATATCTTTATGACAAGCAGCAGCAGCATGAACAACATTAGAAGTATTTATTTTCTCTTCCTGATCTAGATTCTGACTCCTGATAAACTGCCCATAGCTCTCGGTAGTTATTAAAGGAAGCTTTTTACTTCTCATATCCTCTGATTTCTCATTTGTCACAAAAATTGTTGGTTGTTCGTGTGATTTTTTACTTAGCAGAAGAGAATCACTATTTAATTTTTCTGTTCTTGTAGATTCATTATCTAAAAAATTATTGTCAAGCACATTTTCAAAATTTCCATTACTCATAGTAAAATGTTCTCGTCCTTTTCTTCCCTCGTCCTTTTTCAATTTGTCCTCCATCACACCAGTGTTTGTAACACTGCCAACTTTCTTGGGAGCATATTCTTTATATCGCCTGTTTTCTGTGTTATCTTTGTGGCTTACACTATCCTCTGGAAGCACTTGAGATTGGGAAGATGTTTCAAAGTGTGGTCTCATACTTGATGAAATGTTTGAAGATGGAGATATGGCTTTGAACCTATCAACAGAAATATCTTGCCAACGGGATTGTTGAATCCTTTCTTGAATTTCAGAACTTGCATCAGCAACCTTGACACTTCTCTTAGAAATTTTAGGTGAAGAAGGCCTACCATTTTCAACATTTCCAATACCCGGGCGTAGAACCGGAGACAAAGAGGGAGATTGTTGAATCCTTTCTTGAATTTCAGAACTTGCATCAGCAACCTTGACACTTCTCTTAGAAATTTTAGGTGAAGAAGGCCTACCATTTTCAACATTTCCAATACCCGGGCGTAGAACCGGAGACAAAGAGGGAGATTGTTGAATCCTTTCTTGATTTTCAGAACTTGCATCAGCAAGCTTGACACTTCTCTTAGAAATTTCTGGTAAAGAAGGCCTACCATTTTCAACATTTCCAATACCCGGGCGTAGAACCGGAGACAAAGAGGGAGATTGTTGAATCCTTTCTTGATTTTCAGAACTTGCATCAGCAAGCTTGACACTTCTCTTAGAAATTTCTGGTAAAGAAGGCCTACCATTTTCAACATTTCCGATGCCCGAGTGTAGAACCGGAGACGAAGAGAGAGATTGTTGAATCCTTTCTTGAATTTCAGAACTTGTATCAGCAACCTTGACACTTCTCTTAACAATTTCTGGTAAAGAAGGCCTACCATTTTCAACATTTCCGATACCCGGCCGTAGAACCAGAGACGAAGAGGGAGATTGTTGAATCCTTTCTTGAATTTCAGAACTTGCATCAGCAACCTTGACACTTCTCTTAGAAATTTTAGGCGAGGAAGGGCTACTATTTTCAACATTTTCGACACCCGAACGTAGAACAGAAGACGAAGAGAGAGATTTGTTGTCATTGATATGTGAGGGTGATCCAGCCTTTGTGTTTACGTGTAAGCTAGAAGTAATAATTTCTGAGGGTAGAATACGTTCTCCATTAGCTCCCTTTGTTCCTCCTTCACCAATTTCCCCACTGCCTGAAATCAATTGGCAACAGTCTATTAAAAATTACAGACTAGACAATTTCAATTGCATTTCTGCATACCCGGTACCTAAGCACAATTCAAAAAGAACAAGTCAACACTTAAACAACAACAACAACAACCAAGCCTTATTACACTAAGTGGGTCGGCTATATGGATCAATTTATGTCATAATATTTTATTCAGGACTATGTTTCTATCCAAATCGTTAATCTCGAAATCTTTCTTAATAACTTCTCTTATAATCTTTCTAGGTCTTCTTCTTCCTCTAGTTGTTCGAGTTCTCTCCATCTGATCTACTCTCCTTACCACAAAATCTTCAGGTCTTCTCTCTACGTGCTCAAACTACCTAAGTCTATTTTCCATCATCTTATCTACAATAGGTGCTACCCAACACTCTAATATTTTCATTTCTAATCCTATCCTATCTAGTCTTACCAAACATCCAACGCGACATCCTCATCTCGACTACACTTACTTTATTCTCGTGTTGATTCTCAACCACCCAACATTCTGTCACGTTAAATATAATGATCATTATATGTGGAGCTAAAATAACAACTAGAAACCAACCTTATAATGTAATTGATATACAATTACTAAATGAGTAATCAAACGTAGGATAAAGTCATTCCATCTCCCGAATATTGTAAGACTAACAAAACATGAATTGCAGCCGCATACAACCAAACATGATGCATATGTTCATACTAACAATGAAGAGGAAAAGAATCAGTCGATACTATAAGTCTATAACCAAATTACACACAAGACAGTTATGTGATCTATTATCATTAAGCAGAATTAGAAAATAAACCTCTTATTTCCTTCGAAGCCGATGTGGTAGTTTGCAAATTATTTGAAGCAATGTCATCAGTTTCATCATCAGTAAAAGCGGCAATTTCAAGATCATCATTATCACCATTGCCCTTGTCATCATCGTCATCATCATCATCATCCTTAATTGACTGTGACACAGACTCCCTCTCCGTTGACAATTCTTTCGAGAAGCTGCTGCTACGTGATGAGCTCGAACACTCTACATCAAATGGCTGAAAACTAACATACATCATTGGTTGCACCGAGCTTTTGAAACTCTTCTTACAATTCAACTGAAAACATATAGCTTTAGCTTCCTTAATAATTCCAAAATCTGCAAAATCCACAGTGGCTGATCCTATAAGCTGGCTCTTCACTGTCCTATCATACAACTGAAACTCCAAAATATTTTTCTTAAAACTTTCGCGTTTCTTTCCCTTCTTCGACATGGATACCGAAAGCTTGAAAGGTTCATTAAACTCGATTTTCCCATTGCCAACACTGGAGGAGGGTATAGAGCCGGAGTTTTGGTCACCGTTTTGCCATTGCAAATGCAGAGATTGAACAGACCTGAGTGATTGTGAAGGTGGCCATGGTTTGATCTCATAAACATGGATAATGTAATGAACTTGGATTGAATTCGAAACAGTTTTTCTACTCTTAGTTCTTATTCCCAAAACCATCTTCAGAAAAAGAAACTGCCAGTGATGAAACACAAACACATAACAAAAATTAGAGAAAAAATGATAAAGTTCTAATTCTAAAGCAATTCAAACGGGTGATAACATAATAAAGAAGAAAAAAGAGATTGTTAAGAGAAGCGATTAATGAATAAATTGGTGGAAAAGAAAAGCATAAGAAAGGAGTAAAAACCTGATAAGGGTGAAGTAAGGTATTAAGTATGGATAAATATATAAAAAAGAAAAAGAAAAAGTACTAACCAGAAATTAAGGAAAGGAGTTGAATAAAGCAATTGAAAGGAAGAAAAATGGTAGCTTGGAATGGGATGAATGAAAATTAGGTGGTGATTGAAATTGATGAGGATTGAAAAGAAAGAAGAAAGAAAGTGATGGTGATTTTGGAATGAATAATGAGAGAATGGGAATGTGGATTGAAAAGTGATGAGGCTAAGAAAAAAGGAAAAGTAAAAAGGAAAGAATACCAGAATATACGCACAACGTACAGCAACCCAAACAGGGATTTTCAACAGAACGATAAATAAACAGAAATTATCTATTATTCATTTTCTTCACTGTGGTCCCACCCAAAACACTATTTTCAGCTTTTTTTATTCATTATATAAAATACACTCTCGTTATCTTGAATTTTCCTGATATGCTTTCGAAATTTAATATTTCTTTATTTTCACATCGATTTCAAAGGGGTTTTCAAAATGGCAGGCATAACAGTTTCATATTATAAATAAAAAATTGTGTGGCTATCATTATCAACAACATTCAACAAAAGAAGGTCTCAAACACTATCTTTTTTAATTAAGTTCAATTTCTTTTTGATTAAATATATTTTTATTCATTCGTGGAATTAATTATTTTATTTCAAGATTAATAATTTTTTGTTTGTTAAATGGACTAGTTTTGGTTTATATCTATAAAAAATAATTCAACTTTGTATTATGGATATTCAATTAGTTTGAAATTTTTTTTTATAGAATTTTTTTAAATTAAATACAAAATTAATTGTTGTTTTTAAATTATTGCTATTGAATGTTATGATATTAATTGAATGAAAGTTGTTGATATAAAGAGACAATGTTACATTTAAAATTATGATGTTGTGTTTGATCCAACATTAGGACATTTTGTACGATTGTGCTCGGGCTGGCGGCATGAACTACATAATCTTACCATTTTATTTGTCGTATCCATCTTCGTTCGAATACACGTGCTATTAGGGCGGCCTTTTTTCTTTCTTCGCATAATTTCATTGTGTCAGACAATTTCTCCTTCATATGCAGGTCAATAGTCCTCTTTTGCTACTACCTGAAAGTTAATGTTGTAGACATTGCATAGACTAATGACTTGGTAAACAACAGACATAAAGTTGGAAGGGTCCTGGCATGCCTTTAAACATGTTGATATTACATGGGAGCAAGGCATAAGAAAAGCTTGAAACTTTTCGCAATCGCATCAACTTCTATCTAGTTCTACTCGATAGGATCCCCTCAGCATCCCTTCATTGTGATCCATTGACTCAGCAACACTGAACCAACCCTTATTACGGCCAAACACTATGACCACATGTGTGTTAGCTTTGGCAGCTTCGTCCTTAATAAATTTCATTGAACTATCACTAAACAGTTGCCCAGATTGTAAGACAGAACTCCATTTTGAATGTCTGATATCAAAAAGTGCCCCAAGCCTAAAATATGTTGCCCTTACCAAAGCGATTATCGGTAGGTTTCAAATGCCTTTGAATACATAGTTCGTTGATTCTATGAGATTTGTTGTCATGTGGCATCATCGTTGGCCATTGTCGTATGCCCTAATCCATGTTAATGCATCTGCATTTGTCAATTTGATTTTTTCACGGTAGTGTTTGAAGGATGGCTCTATTAATGCATACCTTGCGTTCACAACCTTCTTCCACAGCATCTTGTCTTTGATCTCCCGCATGAAATTTTGAGCGATGTCTCTAATGCAATAGACATGTATTGAAGGAGGATCCTGTCATCCGTTATCAAGATTCTTATATGCACTCTCGATTGATGGGTGTCTGTCAGAAATCAAACATACGTTAGGTTGGGGAGACACGTGTAATCGGAGATTTTTTAGGAAAAAACTCCAACCCCCAACACTTTCCCCTCTAACTAAAGCGGAGGCGATTGGAAAAATGTTGTTGTTGCCATCTTGTGCTACTGTCATGAGTAGTGTTCCTTTATATTTCTCGTACAACCATGTTTCATCAATTTGTATAATAGGTTTATAATATGAAAAACCTTTGATACATGGTTCAAACGCCCAGAAGTGTCGGTGAAAAATGTTATTTCCACTAACACAAGTCCCGTATGGGGTATATGTCGGCAAGGTCTCCAAAATGGTAACAGTCCCTAAAGCATATTGTTTAAGTGCCACCAAGTATTTTGGAAGTTCTGTGTACGACTCCTCCCAATTTTTGAACACCGTTTCAACCACCTTAGTCCTAGCTATCCATGCTTTCCTGTACGACAGAGTATAATTGTATCTTTGAACGATATATGAGATTATGGTACTCAGCTTCAACAACGGATTGTCGCTAATGATAGACAGAATTTCATTGCATAACAACTGAGAGTTGAGTTTGCGGCGATCCTGCATCGGATTGGTGATTATACAAGTATGCTCTGGACCTATAGACCCTATCTTCTAAGAATCGCTTCTCTTTCCATAAGATGTTGTCAATCGAAACGGGCACACCTCGTTATGATAGTAAATTTTATACAGAGTCTGATTCATTTGGTCGACTCTATAATCAGCTGATAATTCCATGTTATATTGTTGTATAGCTTTGACACAGTCTTCTTTTGTTCGAAAATTGTATCCTTCTTTTAATACTCTTTGTGTTTGCATATATGGATTGCAAAAAATATTTGTTGATTGTTCATCTACACCCAAGTCCAGGCTTGTCATGTGTTGAGGTGGATAATAAACATGACTGATCGGTAATAGGTCTTCCTCATGGTCAGCAGTGGAATCATTTACCATTTCATCAACCAATATCTAAACTTCTTCTTCTTTTTCATCTACGACATCGACTTTAGTTTGTTCGTCGTCAGCTTTGCAAAAAACTTGAAAAGGATCAACAAGTTGAGACACTTGTTGTTGTTGTAATATAGTATAAAGCTCAATATCATTAAAACCAGAATACTCATGACTGAGAAACATATTATGAACATCTTCGTCATCTCGAACCTTTACCTGAAAATTTGAATTGGTTTTCGGCAAAAAAACACTGGATTCTTGTAGATGATCTGACTTACTGGACCACACTGTAATTTCTTTTCTAATCTCGCTTTCAAATGGGAAAAACTTGATCGGTTGTTAATTGAAAACCGAGTAACACCAGTATTACAAAAATTGAAACCAGTTAAGGTACAATCAAATATCTCACCATTGAGATGTACATTAATCATGTATTGTGGTGTTTGAGTCATAAGAAATATTTTAGTGTATTGGTGTTTGGTAAAATTGTGGTGTAATATTTTAGTGTACTGGTGTATGATAGAATTGTAGTGCAATAAAATGTTAGCTTCATGTGTATTAATAGATCTCTAGTTTCATCTATTTGAATTTTTAATATATTATTGTTTTGTCTCAATTATACATGTGTATTAATATTATTTTTAATATCAATTTTTTTATTTGTGTTTTTCAATTATACAGGCATTAGTCTTGTCTCGATTATACATGCTTTAGTCTTGTCTCATTTATATCTTCTTACATGCATTCATTTTGTCTTCTTACATGCATTAGTCTTGCCTCATTTATATCTTCTTATCTTCTAACATGCATTAGTCTTGTCTCCTTTATGACTACCAAGACTCTATTATTGTCTTCTTATATAATGCATTACTCTTGTCTCCTCTATGCACGCATTACACGATTTTCTTACTATATTCTTTCACTATTTACTTACTATTTTCTTACAGCAATTTCTTACATTATTGTCTTGCATGAATTACTATTTTCAAACACTATTTTCTAACATGCCTACAAGATTCACATGTCTCTTAGTCTTACAAGATATCACATGTGGTAAAGAGTCTTACAAGATTCACATGTATTTTTCATCTTGTCTTAAAAGATTCTTTGTATTGCATGCCTTCCAACATTGTAAGAGATGCCTTACACGAGACTCCTTTGCATGCAAAATAGAGAAGGTGCCACTTCATTTGGCTTACCTTCCTACCTAGGCACCATATGAAATGGCGTGTATTTATAAGCTTCATAGCATGCGCCATCTCATATGGCGTGTATGTACAATAAGCCATGCAAAACCTAATCTGACACGTGAAGAGAGGACTTGCTTTATAAATATGTCTTACCAATTCCTTTTTCTCCTCACAACTTTCACCAAGCAATATTTTTTGTTAATCTACACAAATTTCATTTGCTCCTCGCAATGTACCCTCATTCCAAGCCACGTCTATAACTAAAAAATGTCTCTCCTTACTATGGGTGATGAACACAGAGGAACAATTGAAATATTACAGCATTTGTAAGTTTTTTGGTTTATTTGTTTTGTCCACCCTTACTTATTTATTTACAGATATGGTTTCATTAAGATTATGGTTGCATCTCTCCATCATTCTTTCTAACTTAGTTTCTTTATATCTTTTTTCAGGATGTAAGGAGATTTCAATGTCGTGTCCATGACTATATACTACACGACTCAACCACACAACCATACTTTTAATCATATAGTTTTAGTCATGTGATAAACATAGTCTCGTACTCGATTGATGCCAAATTTATTCTAGCTTTGCTAGAACGATGGAGACCCGAGACCCACACATTTCAACTTTCATTCGGTGAATGCATCATCAGACTGGAAGATGTGTATATGTTGTTGGGGCTACGTATCGATGGTAAGGTTGTTAACGAAAAAGTTGGGGTTGATAACCAAATTTGTGAAGATTTGTTGGGTGCCCCTCTTTGTGAAGAGACAAATCCGACACAACGTGCAG